AAAGTCGTTTTATAATCTTTGTAATCTACTAGTGTTTGTGTTGGATATGTTGGTCCTTGTATTTCAGAGGGGCCCTCAGTTGAAGAATTCCATTCGCAGGAGATTTTGTCGGGAACCTTTCGCTTGTGTCCTGAAGCAAGGCACGTTATCCTCATTACTTCTCTCCACTCAGTAGTAGTAGTATAATGGGTACCTGGTGGGGTTGCATGCTACTGCTCCAATATAGAAGCAACACTTAAGCTTGCAAAACTAATGACCAGGAAAAAACTTAAAGGAAAAGTGCTATACAATCAACAAGTATGCTAACTAGTGACAAGTATAAGCTTAAACTGTCTTTTCATATCTCGACTTTAACTTACGTGCGCAACCTAAGGGGTAATTATTTTTTTTCATTTACAGAATTTAATTATGAAATAACCTAAAAGATTTTATAAGTCAGTGGTAACGTCATCAGGCTGATTCCACAGCTCACAGTCGCTACATCGTTTTCAATGCAATCCTTGCTACGCTCCCAGCTTCAACTGACCGATTAGCGTCATGGGTAAACCTGATTGTATGTACTTGTATTTTAAATTCTTTGTGACGTTAGTTTGCAATGTATAATATAATTATAAGAATACTTATTTTATCTATTTGTGAATAGGACTATTATGCACTGTCTTTTATTCACCTCTAAGGGAAATGATACGTTCAAATGTTCATAGTCATTGGCAGGCCATATATTAATGAGAATTATGAATAACGGTCAAAGCGCCTATACCTATATCGGCGCTCGTACTGAATAGTGCATCGTCTTTGGTATAATATAACCCGTGTGGTATACGTGCCCGTTACTTACTTGTTACCTGTTGCTAGAATTTTCCTTGCACTACTCTGTTTGGAAAAGAGTAGTGGGATGTCTGTCGTACTGCTCAATCACCACCAGAAGAGAACACCTAGAAAAAAACTTTCGTATTGTCCTGAATGAATGAATGAAGTGAATTTCACACTGAAGAAATCCAATCAAATCTTAACTAATATACTAATGTTATAGGAATTTGTTTCTGTAGTACGGAAACGGGGTGGGGAAAGTTGAAGAAGTTTGTCGCTTTATGGATTGTTATACGGATATCTATAATTTATTTCAGATGTCGATGAATCTTGTTAATCAGTACTCCTGTCAATGTGTCTCGTTGGATACCTTGGACAGAATTGTGCGACAGGTCCGTACATATATTTTACATAATTATTCCTCACGGCTACTGTATTTCTACTTCTGTTTGCTAAAGATACAACAAATGGCATGTCGTCGACATTATTAGCCCGCAACAAGGTGAATCCTCATTTACAACTCTCGGCTCACACGGGACAACTATTATTATCTCCGCCAGGATATATAAGTTTTTAGTCGTGCAAGGTTTTGTGTGTATTTTTTGTGTTCGAATTATCTAAAAAACGGCTGCACAGATAATAAATGAAAACAACAGAGAGTTTCAAGTATGTCCCAATAAAGAAATTATTACATTTTGGTGACGGTCCGGAGTAGGGTGTCTATGTATAGAAGAGAAAAGTCTTATATCCTGTCATGATATCGTAGTGCCTCTTGGTCTAAATGGTATGACGCTCGTCGAGATTGCGAAACATTGCTGGCTCGTTTCCCTCTTGCAGTCGGAGAGCCGCGTTGGAGATTTTAATGGTTATTGCAAAATTTTTAACACGCGTGACGTCATTGATTCTAGACGCCCTCACACAACAGAAAGGCGTTTAACTTTCGCGCGTTTTCATTAGCATAAAGTGTATGCTATCTCATGGCTGTTGAATAAACATTAAAAAAGCGGAAGGTACCCAAATATGGTAAAATCAGTTCCTTATATAGCTAAGAATCCTTAAGTCATTGAATTTTCTGATTATTTTTTTGTACGAGTTGCGCGTTCCAACGTTTTTGCCAAAGTTGTGTGACAGCCGTCGAATATATTTTTAACAGCTATTTGTTTACACATTTTTGATTAGTAGCATTTGCATCCCATACAGCGATTTCTCTACATACATACCATAAGTCGAAAAAGTAAGTGTTTCTGCTTAGTTTGATATAAAATTCGGTCCTGTACCCAGTGGCGTAAAAAACATTTTTCATTGGGGGGGGGGATGATTGGCGTGTTAGCCATGTCTCTTATACACATCT